TTGCCTCCAAAGAACACACTGCCTGCACCCTTTCTAAGACATAACTATTTGTTCTTTTGGCAGTCCATCAATTCTTCTGTCATCCTTATTCATAATCCAGCTCCCAGATGCATAGCAAGTGATTTAAAAGACCACATGGCCTGAATCAGGTGCACCTTAGTCTTCAAACTGACATCATTGCTCTTTGTTATTTTGGAGCGAACCCTGACAACAGACTTGACAAAAGCAATATGCCTCCTTAGCTCTTTACTGCTGTTACTAACGGTGTTGTGGATCCAAGCAAGATGAGATCATGAACAGTTTTAATCCTTTCTCCATTGATCATGATATTACCATCTGGCTCATGTATCCTCTTGATGTTAAGATGCAATTCATATTGAAGGCTATAGTCTTTGATCTTCTGCAACAAGTGCTTCAGGGCCCTTTTCCTTTCATCATATAAGGTTGTATCATCTACATAGTGCAGATTGTTGATGAGTCTTCTTCCAGTCCTGATGCCACATTCTTCTTCTTGGAGTCCAAATTAATGAATTATTTGCTCAGTATACAGATTGAATAGATATGGAGAAAGGATACACCCCTGACACACACCCTTTCCAATTTTAACTGTATGTTTCCTTGTTCTGTTTGGATAGCAGTTCTTGGTCTAGGTATAGATTTTGCACGAGCACAATTAATTGTTCTGAGATTCCCATTCTTTTCAATGTTAGCCATAATTTGTTGTGGTCTACACAATCAAATGCCTTTGCACAGTTAACAAAACACAGATGGACATTCTCCTATTATTAGTTGTCTTCAGCCAGGAGCCATCTGACATCAACAGTGATATCATTGGTGCCATGGCTTCTTCTGATTCCAGCTTGAACTTCTGGCAGTTCCTACGGAATTGCTGTGGGTTGGAATCAATTTGGTGGTAGTGGGTTGGGTTTGGTTGGCTCTTTTGTAAATAGTCCATGATTTGTCAAGAAGGATTGCTATGAGAATGTGTTTATAAAATGTTTCCACCTTTCCACTCCCTTCTCTCTCTCTCTCTCTCTCTCTCTCAGAACTCCAAGGTACCTGTGCCCTCTTACCTCAGTTCTCTATAGAACTCTGGCTGAGCCCGAGCTCAGAGCTCTTCTCAGAGCCGGTATTGACTTTGACCACCAGAGGGCACTTTCACAATGTGAAAACCGATGGTTTTCTTGACCTGGCGGAGCCCTAGTCTCATTTTTGCCGGAACATTTGGACTTGATGGAAGTGGGCTGCGAGTATTTATTCTCAACAGGGGAACATCTGACAATATCTGAAGACATTTCAGGTCGTCACAACTGAGTGGAAGAAGGTGCTACGTCTGTAGGGGAAGCTAAACAGCTAAACACCAGGAGTGCTGCTAACCATAATAGTATGCACAGAACAGACGTCAACAGCAAAGAATTCTCCAGTCCAAAATGTCAGTAGTGCTAAGGCTGAAAAACTACTCGAATCTATTGCCTTAAAATCCATGGCGCACCACGAGGAAGTTGAAATCTTCTGGGGCTAAGCTTTCAGTTTCCTGGCAAACCTCCTCCAGAGGAAGATTTCAGAATAATGACTTCACAGTAGTTTTCACTACCTGAGACACGTCCGTGGGGTGCCAGCCACCTAAAACCACCCAAGAGGGGGTGGGGCCGGCAGAGGGCACACGAAAATTTTCATTACAGAGACAGCCCCTGTCCCGGGGCCTGGCCTCTCTGAACAAGGCCCCAGCCCCATGACCAAGCAGGCCAGTTCTCTGTGCTGGAGCAGACAACACTAGCTCTTTGTCTTCCCAAACTGGAAGGGAGATGGGAAAGCCCTGGGGGATGGGCCTGTGGTTTGAGGAGCAAGTGGAAAACAGCTCTAAGGGTAGCCCCTCACATCTTCTGGGAGACAGACTCTGAGGTAGCCTCGAGAATGAATGGGAAACACTCAGATTCTTTCTCCTAGCCTACTTCCTAGGGGACTCTGCTGGCCCAGTGTGTAGAGTTGCACTGCCAAGCCAAAGGCAGGTGATTGGAATTCTTGGGAAAAGACAGGTAAGCTCCTTCCGTGTGATTTACAGCCCGTGGGAGCATGAGCTGAGAGTCAATTCCAACTAGATGGCAAGTAGCAACAACCTACATCCAGCTTAGAAACCTAGGGGCTGGGGTCTCTCATTTCACCCCTTCCCTTAACTTTTGATGCACTCTGAGCTTGACCGAGATAGTGAGGAAGGTGCAGGCTAGGGCGAGGTTCAGATTTTATTTTTGTAGGGATGCTATGAATCATAGTCGACTTGATAGCACACAACAACAACAAGCATTTGATGTACAACATAGGAAGGAAGTAGAGATAAACCAAAACCTGAGATTTGTAGCCTAGAGATTTGTTGTTGTTAGTTGCCATCAAGTTGATGCCAACTCATTATAAGCTCAGGTTCTTTGGTCCCTACAAGCAGTCTTCTCTGTTGGCATTTGCTTTGTTGAACAAAAGAAGGATACTCCTCCTCACAGAGCCGTCCATGCCCCCAGCTACTCAATGCTTCTGGTCCACTATCATTCTTAGGCCCTCGAGCAAAGGAAGAGAACTCCTTTCCCACTTTCTCCACCCTTCAAATTCTGCCCAGCCCAGCCTCCATGGAGGTCATTCTACAACGATTCTGGGCTTCCTGGAGGCTGATTTCCTGTCTCATTCTGCTTGTTCCTGTGCCACCTCATCCTTCTTCCTTCCTTTCTGAGAACTGATGGAGGAAGGTAGGAAATGGGCTCCCCTGATTTCCAACTCTGCTCCAGGTCTCAGCCCCTCTCCTAGTCCCTACTATATTGTTGTTGTTGTTCAGTGCAGGTGACTCATAGCGACCCTATGAAGGAGAGTCCTGACACTTGGGTGACTTTCATCCTCTCTCCAGGTTCATAGGGTTTCTGGAGGCAAGCTATTATGGAAGTGGATGCCACTCCTCCTTCCAAGCTGTCCCTACTGTAGTTGCTGTTAATTGTTGGGGTTTTTTTTTTGTTTTTAAATTTTTTTTTTTTCATTTTAGTGTGTGTGTGTGTGTGTGTATGTACTGTCAAATTGGATCTGACTGGTACAGGAGGAGATTGCCCCTCCTTCTCCAGAGGAGCATCTGGTGGATTCAAACCATGTACCTCTGAGATTGCAGTCTGTTAATTGTTTTTATGAACTTTCAAGTACAGACCGACCCATTGCTGACATTCAGTGGGTTTTCAGAGGCAGTAAATCACATGGGTGGAGACTGCCCATCTTTCTCCTGTGGAGCAGCTGGTAGATTCATTCAACCAGGTGCCTCTGGGTCGGCAGCCACCAAGTTGACTCCTATGACCTTGTGAATAACACATCTGAACTTTGCCTCGCCCTGCACCACCTTTACCATCTCTGATAGGCCTGAGCCCATGGTTAACAGTCACTGCGTCAATCCATCTTGTTAAAGGTCCTCTTCCATGAGAATCTTGGGTGATGTCTAGCTCCAGCCTAGATAGAGCAGAGGACAGGAGGAGCCAGCAGGGGCTGAACCCACGCAAGTCATTTGAGAGGATAGTTTGCCAAGGACGTTTTATTTAAAGTCTGCAGTGGAGTACTACAGAGAGAAAAGGCCAGTTCTTCCTCCCTACCAGCCTGGGGCTGGGGGAAAGGAGGTAGAAGTTCCTACTGGGGAGTGGAACTCCCAGGGTCATGGGAATCAGAGGGATGGTGGAGAAAAACAGAGACCAGAGGGAGACCAGAGACCACAGCCTAGATGTCCCCTGAGAGGAAAGGGTGATAGGAGATGTCCTGAGACTCAGGGACAAATCAAGTCCTGGGCTTCCCCAACATAGACCCTTCATTGCCCTCTGGTGGGCTTGGAATGAGCAAGTATGAGAGGCTTCAAATGTTGCAAGCTTTACCCTCCTCTTCTTAAAGAAAAAGTAAACCACAGTGGCCACTTCTAGCCCAAGACTAGAAAAATTAGGTGGTCTGTGGCTACCACTGTCAATTGTCCTTATCAGGGATACCATAATAGAAGGTCCTAGTTAGCATGGGAAGAAAACGTGGAACAAAGTACAACAAATCTGTTCTAAAAAAACTAAGCAGACATCCTATCCATGGCCTAGTGGTAAGAAGCTGAGCGGCAATCCCAAAGGCACATGGTTCGAATCCACCAGATGCTCCATGGGAGAAAGATGGGCAATCTATTACCATCCAATTTATTTGCCAACCCAAAGACAGGCAGTTCAAATCCACCAGTTTCTCTTTGAGAGAAAGATGAATAATCAACAATCTCTTCCCGTGCTGTTTACAACCTTTGAAAACCTGCTGGAGTGTGAGCTATGAGTTGCTTACAACTTGACAACACACAACAACAATAAACTACAAAAACCCTAAGCAGACTTACTGAATTGATAGATACTAGAGGAAGACTGAGGGGGTCTTAGAGACTCTGGGCATAAAGATACTGGTCTAACTTGGAAGTGAAGTCACTCCAGGAGTACATCTTTCAGTCAAATCACAGATCAGCCTCTAAAGGAAGCAGTAATGCATGTAAGGAATGTGCTCCTTCAAACAGTCAACAACAAGAGACCAAAAGGGCTTCAAATAAAAAAATGAGAAGACCAAAAAGGCTGGGGAAGAGCCAGGATGGAAAAGGCCGGGCTAGGTGGAAAGAGTGAGTTGAGACATATTGCAGGGGCTGTGGTTCACGTCATGGAATAATTTGTGTGTGAATTGTTGAATGAGAGTCTAACTTGGTGTGCAAACTTTCACTTAAAGTACAATAAAGTGTTTGTTTGTTTTTTTAAAAAAAGAACGAACATCTATGATTAGCCATTTCACGGGGAGGGGCATTTGCAGCAGTTTCCTGTTCCCACATACACTTCTCCTCCATCTGCCCTGTTCTCCCTACCCCCCTTCACCTCTAATCCTCTTTCAATGGAAGCTCATGCTTTGCCAGAGGTGGGACTGGAAAGTGCAAAGACAGAGGGAGGTGGGCAAGAGGAAAGATGAAGTTGGGGGACCTCCTTTCCCAATTAAGGAGGATCCAAGGGCCACACTGCTTTGAAAGTCTCCAGGTTGGGGGACACAGAGCTTTTCTCACCAGTTTTGAGTCCATGAGCCTTAGAGGAGAAGCTGTCTTGGGGATCTAGGGCTCCTTTTGCCGCCATCATAGGATCAAGCTTTCCCCTGAGCCCCTCAGGCTGCAGGGATAGGAGCTGAAGCCTTTCGTCTGTCCCCTGTCCCAGCCCCACCGCCAAGGGGAGTCCTGGAAAATGTCCAGCCACTGGGGGGCAGCTGGGGCCTGGGAGCAGGGTGTCTGACTTCGAGGACCCCAGGAGCTGTTGCTCTGTGGGGGGAGGAGGCAAGAAGGGCCCTGAGAGACGGGTCCAGTCTGAGGGGAGAAGGGGAGGTAGGGGAGGGGTGAAAGAAGCAAAACTGGGCAGCTCATCTTGGAGTGTTCTGAAATCACAGCAGGGACCCAGCCGACAGGGACCTGGGGCAGATCCAAGTCCTAGAGAAAAAGGGAAGAGACAGCGTCAAATGGAGCAGCCCCACCTCCGAGATGCCCCTTTCTACCTTACCTCTTGCTTGAAATTTATCTCTCTCTAGCCTTTCTTTTTTATTCTTTGCTTAAGGTCTCATAGATTTGAGGGGATGGGATGCCCAGGTGAGAACCCCTCCTTATCAACTCTTGTCATGTCCTCCTTGTCTCAACCAGGGCACTTAGCAGTCAGAGTTAAGCAGTCATTTGTATGATTATTCACTGTGTCCTTGACTCTATGAGGGATGGCACCGTGTCTGTTTATTCTCTCCTGGATCTTAAGCCTCAGCCCATTTTAGCACATATTAAATGCACAATAAAACTGTGTTGAGTGGATTGGTGGAAGCCCTGGACTATGACTCTTAGTCATCCTTCAAGCCTGGAACTGAGCTCACCCTCCAGCCCCGATGACTGAACTTTCAGTCAGACAACAGAAGGCTTGTAAGGTGAACAATAACACCAAGGAGGAATGCATGCCTCACAACAATCAACCTTACGAGATCTAAAGGGCAACATTTGCTCAGGGATAAAACTCAGAAGACAGGAGAGGACAAGAAAGATGAAAGGGTAAACACTGAGAAGTGGGAAGAATATTGTTACGTTCAGCCAAATGCCATGAGAGGAATTGTGTATGAATTATAACTGCTCTATAAACTTTCACTCAAATCATGATACACTTTTTTTCAAAATGAGTTGAATGAGAGGATGGAGATATCCTCTGCTGTAACTCAATAAATCCATTCTTCATTCTTGCAGCTCTGCAACAAAGAAAGTTCTGGGTGGGCAGATGCCTGGCCGGGAAGCTCTGGGCTTGGCGTTTCTTTAAAGAAATCTGTTTCTTTATTCATAGGACCAACTTCTCTTGCTTATCGGGGTCTCTGTTATTGTGTGCTTTTGAGCCAGAACTGACCCATAGTTGATCGTCCAGTGGGCTTTCAGAGTCAGTTAATCACACGGGAGGAGACTGCCTATCATTCTCCCATGGAACAGCTGGTGGATTTGAACAGCACGCCTTTGGGTTGGCAGCGCAGCTCCTTACCACTAGGCCACCAGAGCTCCTTCTTAAGTCCCAAGGTGATACAAATGGCTAACAAGGTAGCTGCTAACTGTAAGGTTAAAGGTTTGAGTCCATCCAAAAGTACCTTGAAAGAAAGCCCTGGGGATCTACTTCCCAAAAGTGATCCATTGAAAACGCAGTGGTGCACGATTCTACTCTAACATACACGGGATTGCTGTGAGTTGGTCACTTGACGGCAACAGGGAAACCTAAGATCAAATTATACAATCGGTCTGAAGGAGTCTGAGGAACAAAAGGCTGAGCACAGGAGGCTCTGATGGATTCGGAGTGAGCCTCCGCCTGTGCTTCTCTGCTGGCTGGTCCATCTCTCCTCCTCTCAGAGCCCTCCCTCCCCACACTCCTTCCTAATCCACCCATTCTCTCCCCCACTCCTACCTGGGTCCTGTGATAGGGATGCACCCAGGGTCCCTGAATATCCTCAGACTATTTTCTATATTTTAAAAAAGGCTAACCCCAGTTCCATATTTACTCTTAGCAAAGTCACATTGTTTTAACTAAAAAGAGCAAACGGCGATACGGCGGGGAAAACATCAGCTCCATGTGGTCATATCTGTACATCTCTAAAGTGGTAAGAATAAAAGGAGACATTCCAAATTGGTTATTATCTGATGCCTCTGGATTATTGAGTAGGAAAATAATTTCCCAAGTCTGATCTCTGAAGGGAGACAAGATGATCTTCCACGTGGAAAAGCGTGGAGCCCCCTGCTAGACAGAGTGTGCCCTCCCTGGATTGTTACCCTTTCCTGTGAATTCTTAAATGTGGTGGAGCTGGTGCTGTTTGCCCCAACAGTGAGGGGTCCCTGTGAGCAAGGAAGTTGTGTGTCCTTCTTTTACCCCTGACCTCATGAGGTCAGGGCCGTGTATCCTCTGGAGAGTCTGCCCAAGCAGGCCTGAGGCCCAAAGGTTTCTGACAGTCCTGCTCCTCTCCACCAGCCCTGCGACTTCCTGGCTCCACCCCAGCCATCCCAGCCTCTCTTCTTCCCAGAAGCAGCTTCCTTTCTTGGCACCGAGTGTTTGGAGGTGAGGGACCAGCACAGCCTTCTGGAGCCTCCTTCCAGAAGCGGGGCATGTGGCTGCTACTAACCTCCTGGTGACCCACACCCACGTCATGTCCCTCAGGGCCTGGGCAGCAGCAGGGGTGTGTGTGTGTGTGTCTGTGTATACACCTGCCCAGGGCAGGCAGGTGCAGAGTAGCCCACTGGAAGCTGGAACTTGGGAGGGAACATTTTTCCTCTTTCACAGATTCCCAAAGAGAACAGCTCTGGGCCCAAGGCACTCCCAGAGCTGGGAGGGGGTGCACGGGGGCGGAAGAACAGGGAGGGCTGTTCAGGTGCTGTTTAGCTCCAGGCTGCCAGACTGGTGGCGGGCGCAAGTTTCAGCAGGCCCTGGGCCGCCCCACGCAGTCTCTCTCAGCTATACTCAGACACCCAGAGCCAGGCGCCCTGCATTCCCTGGGAGGATCTGGGCCAGAGCTACACTGGGGCTGGGCTAAGGCCCTGATTCTGTGAAATAGAGATTCTGGAATAGAGGAGTATAGAAGTCTCGGATCTCTGCCTTGAATTAGACTAGAGTCTTTGTAAGAAAATCTGATTTTTTTGTCTCTTCTCATTGTATGGCCCGGAAGATCTGGCCTTGCCTGCATTTTCACTCCCCTCCCCACCTCCATCAGGGAGGAGCTGTGCTGCCATCCCAAAGGCATGTGGTTCGAATCCACCAGCTGGTTCGTGAGAGTAAGATGGGCAATCTCTTCCCATGAGACAAAACCTCTGAAAACTCACTAGAGGGCCAGCTATCAATGGTACATAACAACAGTTCCTCCCGCATCATCATGCTCTGCCAGGCTGGCCGCTTCCCAGCTCCTCCTGCTGAGGCCTCCGCACACCCTGCGCTCTCTACTTGCCAGATCCTCTTTGTTCCTTTGAGCTAAGCTGACACCTATTTACACTCAGGGTGTCAGCTCAAATGTCACGTTGCCAGGGAAGCCTTCCATGGTGTCCTTTGTGTCCAGAGCTGCTCCTCTCTAATAGCATGGTTATAATTACATGTCTATTTGTCAGATTATTAATTTAATGTCTGCATTCCCTCGTACCCTCCCCTGCCTGCCTGCAAAATGCAGTCCTGTTCATACTGGTGTTCTCAACCCTCAGGACAGTGATTGGGACACTAAACAGAAGGTCACGAACTACCTGGAAAGGAGAAGTGAGTGAAAGAATGAGTGAACTTTAGCTTCCTTAACTCTTGCCAGCCCCTTCTGCACCCCATGGGGAGCCCTTCCTTTGCTCTGGCCTAGAACCAGGGCCAGATTCTCTGTCTTGGTTATTTTTAAAGAGAAATTCTTGATACCAGTTTTCCACCTTATCCAACCCAAATTATACACATAGTCTGAGTAATCTTTATAAAATGAAAATCTGAACATGTGTCTCCCTCTTGGGTCTCTCATGCACAAAGGCTAAAGCCCAAACTTTGGACTTCTGAAGCTTTCTCTGGGTAACTGGATATCTGTTTCTCTGTTGCCAGCCCCATCCTCTCCTCAACCCCCAATTCTCGACTGTTCCATTCTTCACATGACCTCCCCTCGGACCATGGTAAAACTACTAGCAGATCTTTAGATTTGCTCTGTCTGCTTGATCACAGCTTTCCACTTTGTCCATGCTGGTCCCACTGCCTGGCCATCTTTCTCCACCAGCTCCTCCTCCCTGGCCCAGGAGGTGCCTGGCACATTCCCCAATCACAACAGCAGCCAGCCATAACCCCCTGCTACACTCTGAACAGCTTGGTTTTTTAAATGGTTCATGAGGATACATTCCTCCCTGGTATGATTATTTACATTATAGGTCTGCCTCTTGTTTCACGAACAGTTGATCCCTAGGATTGGATTCAGCTCCAGTTTGAAGGGCATACAAAGGCCAGAGTTTCGGGGTTTCATTGGTCTCAGGCAGAGTAGTAAGTCTTGTCTTTTATTATTTCCTATCTAGGTCCTCATTCTGCCCCCTTCCCCCAGGATTTTCCTTGGTGATGCTAATTGGAGCAGTTGGTAGTGGTGGCTGGGGCACCCTCCTCTCCTTCTGGTCTCAGGTAGAGGAGGCTGTGGTTTCCACGGTCCAGTCATCCTCTAGACAAATTGTTGCCTTGATTCTGATTTTTTTTTCAACCTTCTTTGCTCCAGATGAAGAAAGACATTTCAATAGTTGCATCTTAGATGACCGCTCCAAAGCTTTTAAGACTCCAGTTGTACCTCATCAAAGGTGGATGTAGAACCTGGGTTTTGTGGACTATGTAATGCTAGCCAACTTAAGATGTTCCTCGACTGTGGTCCTAAGTCCCCGAGTGACTCTGAGCATCTTGAGGGCTAATGTATTGTTTTGAGCTGCCAAATCTGTTAAATGCTGGTGCTCACTTACTATGTGTTGAATACGTGAATGTACTGCTCCTTGACTCATGGCCCCTCACCCATGGACTTGGCCAGAGACTCTTCCTTCTTCCCATTAAGATTCCCTAGGCCCTTTCCCACCCTGAGTACTCACGGGGGTCACTGCTGCTGCTTCCCTTCTTATCTCCGGAGGCCCCTGCTGGCCCTCGAGGGGTCCGCTGCCCGGTCAGCTGCTCCACCATGGCCCGGTGAGTGAACAGCATGCTGTGTAGGAGCTGAGACATGAGGAGACACGGGGGTGGGAGTGGGGCATATGTTTTCTTATAACAGACTGCTACAGTTGACCAGTTGTCAAAACAATGGAATGACCATTCTCAACACGACTTGTTAAGTAACCATAGTTCAAGTGCTGCCTGTACTCCCAGATGTCCTGGACCTCCCTTCACACCCCACCCCTGACTCATGAGCCACCACTGAGGGAGTGATTCCTTCATAGAAAACATCATCTTTCTCTCAGATGGGTGCTGAACCATGCAGATTGTTAGATATTTTTAATATGACCCCCTCCCCTGGGCCACCTAGAGACTTGCATGCAAAGGCAGAGGATTGGAGGGAGCATGATGGATCCTTGAGGTAGACAGGAGAGTGGTGGGCTCCTGGGTAAAGGGGTGAGGCCTTGGAACCCCGGTGACAGGTGACCCTCATGCCTACCTCACTCTGCATGCCCATGGGCACTAGTGCTGGCCGGCACATGGCAGGTGTCCCCAGCAGAAAGTGGGGTGATGGTGGTGCCCGCACCTCCCACAAAGGGTAGTTGACTACGATGAGCTTGCTGAAGTTGAACTTGTACGTGAATCTCTTGCCTTTGGTCTTATGTAGAATCCTCTTGTTGTAATAATATCTGGGGAACCCAAGGGCAAGAAGGAGTCAGAGGTTCAACAAACCCCAGTGCCTGAGACCAGCAATGCTGTTCGCAAGCTGTTACTGGAGAACCAGGCATCTTCCCACTAAGGGCATTTCCCCAAGCACTGGCGAGGACTGGCAGAAACCAGGGCCCCTCACTCAGTCCCTTCCCTTGAACGTGGCCCTCTCTGACCATGTTGGCCACCTCCTCTCACCTGAGGGCCCGGCTCAGCTTGTCATAATTCATCTGTGGTTTGCACTTCCTGCGGCCCCAGAGGCGGGCCACCTCATCTGGGTCCTTGATGACAAACTCCCCGTACTCGCCCTGCTGCCAGGCAATGACATGGCGGAACTCCTCCTTCTGTAGCAGCTCAAGGATGAAGTGCCACAGCTGGATCTGCCGGGAGCCTGGGGACGATTCCGCTTTGTAGGCCCAGTCAGGGAAGGCTAAGCCTGGAGTAGGGAGGAAGCGTGAGGGACCAGGCCACTGCTCTGGTTGGTGGTGGGACCACCCACCAGCTCACCTGTATCATCGTAGGGAAGAGACCTGGCAAAGGGGCTCACCTGAGATCCAGTAGTTGCTGGGGACAGCAGGCATGCCATCTGCCAAACAGCTGCAGTGCATGGTCCACTCTGAGGCCGAGAGAACTGTGGTGGGGCCCTGGGACAAAACAGTAGTTAGTTAAGACAAGAAGGAAGGACAGAAGGAGGCAGGGAAGGATGAGAGCAAAGAAGGAAGGGAGAAGGTTGAAAGGAGATGAGGAAAGAAAAAAAGAACAGGGAGAGTATCAATCAAAGAGGAAAAAGACAGCAGAGGGGATGCTGTGGCAGGAAGCGTCCCTGTGCCCAGGACAGGGCCCGGCCTCTTCACTGGCCAGAGGCTGACCCAGGACTGTGACTTGGGGCTGAGCCACTTATATAGAGAGGAATGCAAAGGGTCCTGTATCCTGCCCTCACCAGGGGATTTAGACAGAGAATGAGATCTCTTCTCAGGGCTTAACAGGATTGGAGTTTTCCCCAAGAGAAGACAACAGAAAAGTAATTAATCACTACCTCTTTGCAAACCTTGAGTGGAGAGGGGGGTGGGATATACGGGCAATCCCCAGGTTACACATGAGATTCATTCCTAACCGAGCCTTTTAAGAATTTGTCAGTAAACCAGACAAGTGCAAAGTGTTCTTATTCAGCCTTACTTTAGTGCAAGGAATGTCCAAAGTTTTTCCCCCCCCATTTAAAACTTGTGCAGCAAGTGAAAGTTGATTGTGACAAAGAGTTTGCTACAAGTGGAGTCTGGACAGGGGTTGGCTCAGTTGTTTTAAAATGAGGGCAAATTTCAGAACATAATAATAAATTACAGGGTCACAGCAATAAATGGAATAAATCTTTTCAGACGCACAAAAAAACATAAAGCTTTAGTAAACATTAAGACAATAATAGAGAGTATGATCAGAAAATGTAAAAACACAGGAAAAAATATATAGGAACAAAGAAACCACCAGTGCTGCAAAAACAAAACAACCCAGCAAAGTGGCATTAGTCAATTCGTACCTATTGATAATTACATTGAGTGGAAATGGATTAAATGCACAGAGACGTAATCCAGGGACGGAGAGTGGCAGAATGGATAAGAAAAATGTGAGCCATCAATATGCTCTCCACAAGAGACATCTTAGACACAAAGACAAAAATAAGCTAAAAATCAAAGGATGAAAAAACACAAGATATTAAGCAAATGCCAATAACAACAACAAAAAGAGCAAGAATGGCAATATTAATTTCTGATAAGACAGACTTCAAGGCAGAAATCAACAAATGAAACAAGAAAGGGTATTACACAGTGATCAAAGGATCAGTTGACAGAGGACATAAGGATAATATCTATGCAGTCAGTGAAAGAGCTCAAACCACCTACAACAAACTTAAACAGGATTGAAAAGAAACATGTGGAACTCTACGAATTGAAGGTAACTTTACATGACATCAAGGGATGAGTGGGAGTTGTCATTAAGTAAGTTCATAACCCAAGGATTGCCTGTAACATACCCACCCTTCTATAGTACTTAGAACATTTTACACTTGAGAGGAGCAGGAAATTTTGCATTCTTTTCCATCAATGGCTCCCTGGGTGCCTCAGAGTGCCTGGCAAGTAAAGAAAACAAAATGAAGCAAATCAGTGGCCACTGAGTGGACTCCAATGGTGACGTCATGTGTAAATAGAACCCTGCTCCATAGAGTTTTCAGTGGCTGATTTTTTATTTTCCCAAAGTAATTCCCAGGACTTTCTTCTGAGGTGTCTCTGAACCTTTAACCTTTTTTTTTTTTTAGAAACTGTTAACATTAACTGTTTGCGCTCCCCGGGGACAGGGATGCTGTCTGAAACAATCAAATCAGTAAATGGTAGTGGTGTTTGTTTAGTATCTGCCTTTCTCCTTAGAGTGTCAACTCTCTGAGGTCAGGAACTGCTGGACCTTGTACTTGAAGGTACTTGGTAAGCATTTGTTGAATTAATGAAGCATGAGTAAGAATAGTTCCCAGTTTGAGTGTGGGAAGTTTTGCAGAATGACCTCCAGTAAGGAAGGTTCACCTGGTGTAGGCAAAGGGAGGAGATAAAGCATCTAAGCCTCAATGCCTCCCGGAAAGGCTGATTTCCTGTCACTAACAGAAAATAAAACAATGAGTAAGGGACTGAGGAGGGATGGGAGAGGCTGCAAGGGGATGCTGGGTAGAGTGCCTGCTTCTGAGGCTGGAGCACCTCCTTTGGGAGGCTGGGCCAGACCTCAGGGATTGTCCTGACTTTGTGAGACTGTGTACACAGGGGAATGGCTCACTCCTGGCTCTGAACTTCTATCTCTGATGATGGGAAGACTGTTCTCAAACAGAATTTATTAGGCTACCAGGTTTGGAGGACATGTCTGACCAAAGACACAAAGTGAGCTAATCACAGAGTCCAGAGCCATACCTTGTGACTCTCAATCCAAAGAGCTTTCTCATCAACAGTATTGCTTTAATACTTTTAAAACACCATCTATGGGGGTAGGAGGTGGGAAGCCAAACAACCCTAAAATATATGGCAAACCTTTCAAAATCTAATGTAAAAGCCACTCTTAAATGTAGATTCTGTTTCAGTAGGACTTGGTGGAACCCAAGATCCTGTATTTATTTTTTTAAATTAAATTTTATTAATTTTAATGAACATTTACAGAGATTTGGGGTTTTCATTCATTCATTGTTGCACTAAGATTCTGTATTTCTAAGGAGCTTTGTTGTTGTTGTTGTACCATCCACTCAGAACTGACCCACAGCTCACTCCAATGGGTTTTCAGAGGCAAAAACTGCATGGGAGCAGATTGCCTGTCTCTCTTCAACAGAGCCGCTGGTGATTTCAAACCATGTGCCTTTGGAATTGTAGCACAGCTTGTTACCACTAGGCCACCAAAGCTCCTTGGAGAAGAATATCACACTTGGAAAGGTGGAGAGTCAGCAAAAGAGGGGAAGACTCCCAATGTGATGGAGGTCTTCCCCTCTTTTGCTGAGTTGCAAAGATGCACCGTCGTGTCAGAGATGAGAATGGCACAATATAGGACAGGTTTCAGATGTGTTTTCACAGGGTTGTTATGACTCATACCCAACATGATGCCACCTAACAACAATCACAAAGGAAATCTCAGATGCTGCTGATGCTGCTAGTCCCAGACTTTACCATGAGAAGCCAAGATCCCTAGAGCACAGTAAAAGAGACTGAAGTAAATGAGAAGTAAAAGAATGTCAAGGAACCCTAGACATCTCAGGCTGGAAGATTGTCACCCCTCTCCCCACCTTAGGTCATCTTGCCCCCTAGCTCTCACTTTCTAGGAATGCTTAAGACCAAGAAGGTCATTTAACAAAGTAACTAGGCAGGAGCTCTGAGGAGTACCTGGTTTGGTCCGAGCCATGGACATCTTTGGAAATAGGTAAGCAGGGGAGTGAGATTGTCCCTGCCCATCCCAGCCTTCCATTCTGGAGTTCTCAGCTCTCTTTCCTTTTGGCCTCAAAAGCAGATGTCTCTCCTCCCCTTGGAACCTTTATTGTCACATTCCTTGGGAAGTTCCTCCTGTATCCAACTTCAAGCAAATTGTGCTGTGGAGCGGTAAGAGATTCCAAAGGCAGACTGTTTCCTGGAGGGAGCTGATGGAATTCCTGTGATTTGCCCTGATGATCTAATAGTGCTTCCTAGGATGAAGGATATGAGACCTCAGGGTAAGCTTAGGACCTGATAAAAAGAGAATGATAATATCCAGCACTTATCAGACACTCGGTGTGTCCTAAATATACAGAGAAAACTCATATGAATTAAGTGTAGAGGAAGAAACAAAGGTTATCAGAGGTTAAGCAGCCTGAGGACACACAGCTCTAATGTGAGGGTGGGAAACAAGACTTTAATTCAAAACTTATTAGCTACAGTTGTAGGCTGTCAATCATTTCCCTTTATTCTGGGGGTGGGGAAGAAGAGAGCTTAAATCCAAAATCTAAGCTGAAACTCAGCATCAAGAAGATAAAGATTCTCACCACTGGGCCAGTTGGCAGCACTAGGATAAGAGAAGAGATTGAGGTTGTTAATAAGTTCAATTTGCTTGGCTCCACAATTAACATTCTTGGTAATAGTCAGGAAATTAAAAGATGAATTGCACTGGAGAAGTCTGTTGTCAGAGACCTCTCCAAAGTCCTAAAAAGTAATCATGTAAAAAAAAGAAAAAGGTAATGATGTCAGTCTAAGGAATAAGGTGTGCCTGATCCAGGCCATGGCCTTTGCAATTACTTGTTATGCATCAGAGAGCTGGACAATGGCTAAGGAAGACAGAAGAAGAATTAATGCCTTTGAGTTGTGGTGTCTTAGAGAGGGTGAAGCCAAGTTTCTCCTTGGAGACAAGAATTTTGAAGTTCCATCTCACATACTTTGGGGATGGTGCCAGGAGGGACCAAGTCCTTGGAGAAGGACATCATGCTTGGGAGAGTGGAGGAGGAAGATCCTGGATGAGGTGGATTGACACAATGAGGGTAGGTGTGTCCGAGTCAGTGACACTGGCTCAGGATAAGATAAGGTTCATAGCTATTGAACATAGAGTCACTATGACTTGAAGGGGACTCGATGGCACACAACAGGGTGTACCAGCTGGTGAACTGGCTGGTCTCCCTGTCTTCTGAATGCTGAAAGCCTCCTCTCTCAGGTTTGTGAGTGTCTAAGTCGACGTCTAGGCATCTGAAGTGCTGGAAAGTTCTGGATAAATCTGGATAAATGTTTACTGGGACAAATTCTGCCAGATGTCTCCTTCAAATATTTCTCTTTAATCATGAAGGCCCTAAAGTGAATCCATTGAACCCTCAGAGAGGAGATTCACATTTACCTTCAGGCCCAAGGTTGTGTTTTCTAACCTTAATTCCTTGGGATTAATTTTAATCCAAAGGGGTTCTGGATAGTCCCTAGGATGTGCTGCTGACCCAAAGGCCGCACCTCTGGCTATTTGAATCCACGAGCAGCTCCACAGGGAGAAAGATGGGTAGTCTTCTCCTATGGGATTTATAGTCTCAGAAAACCTACCAGAGGGTGGTCTATGAGTCAGTTCAATAGCAGTGAGTTTGAAGGTTTTT